TATTCACACAAATACAATTAGCTTTCCCTGGGTTTGGTTTCCATGGTGACGGTCTGCAGTGGTGGAACATGATCAGAAAATTACAAACAAAAAACCAAACCATCGTGCTGACTTCACAGAAATGAACCAGTTGAATGAACACGTGACAACCTGTTGACAGCAGCCGGAGAAACGTTGGCTTGACTTAATTAACTAGCTGTTGTTCTCGTTAGCTTTTTTTCTTTTTTTAAATTCTTTAGATGTTAAAAGGTAAACTTTGGTCTTAGTTTGGAAAACGTAAAAACTGTGATTTGTGAAGAAGCCAAGAACAGTCTGGTCTCTGACTCTGACTCTGACAGGACTCTCACCCTGAGGGGTCAACCACTTCAGATGACCTTTCACATTAAGAAATGGCGGCTTTTCTTTTTTCTTTTTTCTTTTTTTTTTTGCATTACTGACATCTTGTGGTCATGTCTTCTTCATCTCATCAGTTGTCACTGTTTCACAAACTCTCCTCATAAATCTGACCACTGGATCCGACATTGAGTCATAGATCTCTCCTCATAAATCTGACCACTGGATCTGACGTCAGGTCATAGAGCTCCTCTCCTCTGACAGACGATCCGTCGTTCCTCTGTTTCCTCCTGTACTCTTGCACCATCTTGAGGAAGTCTCTGACGTCATCTCTGCACATTCAAACCCACTTAACGATGTGTCACAGTACAGTTCTCTAATTCAATTTTTAATCCCCTTATTCCTGTCCGTGACTGATCACTGTGACTGATCATGTGACTGATCAACTCTTCAGTCTTGACTCCAGCTGCTGAAGGAGAGATGGATATTGTCGTTGGGCTGAAGCCTGGCCGAGGTCCAGGCGGTCTGAAGACGATGACGTCCACTCAGAGCAGGTGAAACTGGAGTCTCAGAAACATCATCAACATCTAGACAGCCTAAAAATATTATGTCTTATCCAAAAAATCTGGATCAAACTTTCCTCTTCATCAGTGCCGTGCGAGCAGACGACCTGACCTAATTCTCAGAACGTGTGAAGCCGAAGATAAAACAATCCTTGTTCAATACTTCATGTGCTGGAGCAGACTTTGTAAATACCTAATGTTTAAACTTAACCCGTGCAACTCGTCCAAAAATGTGTGATTGGTTCAAATCCACGTTTTGGGTCAAACACCGGTGTTGAGACGTGAGGTTTGGAGGAATCCCAAAAAAAAAAGTGCTGTTCCTCCAGAAACTTTCAGACCTCAAGTCGACCTCCACTATTTCCATAAACAGCTCCTGTGGAACAACAACCACAGTCTGCAGATCCCTGGAATCTGTTCTCTTCTTACATCATTCTCCTGATTTGTGGGCATCATTTGGAGTGCAAATGTGGGCTGCTTATAGAGACGTGTAGCCCACGTATATGAAGATGCATCACCTGCTCGTCTCCTGATAACAGGCCTAAAGCTACAGGCTAATTAACTAAAGTTTGTGTGTGATGCTGCTGCTGGTGGTTCAAGGAAAGTCATTTTAAAAGTTTGTTTTTTAACATCTTTAATTTTTGTAGTTTAATCACTCCTGGAGTTGCACTGCAGTCATTATTCTCAGGTGACAGAATGGTCAAGATTTAAAAAAAAGCTTTACAGTGGATTAGAATGCCAAATAGTAAACAATTGAAACAAATACTGCTCATTTTTTATATCTGCCATAAAAATCAACTTTAATTGGTTTCACTAATTAAAACTCTGTTGAGCAGTGGGAGTGGGAGGAGTGTCATCTTTGTCTCAAGCCAGTGAACATGGCAGCAGACGGCGCTGAGTTTCACATTTTATAGCCGCTGCTATTTAGAAACAAAAACAGTTGTGTTTAAATTCAATAACAGAGAGAAGAGGGGAGGAGTGGGTGAGGGGGGGTGGAGGGGTAAAACAAAAAAAAAAAAGGACAAGAGTGTGGTGAGAAACAGCCAGACCCCTGAGGCATCGCAAACTCTGAGCAGGAAAATGTTGAATTTCAAACATTCACTCAGGCGTCGTCTTCTTTCAGCACCTTCAGAAAAATCTGCTGTTAATTAAAAACAACTTTCACCTCCAGAAAACTGCAGCGCCGTCTCTGTCATTGTTTATTTATTGTGTGTTGTATCTTATATATTCTCTGTTTATATTTCTTCACTCCACAACAGGTCTTTTCAACACGTGTAAACTCAGCCGTCTCTGACCAGCCACGTTTGATGAGATGTGTTTTGAATCTTTTTTTTTCTTTTTTTCCGTCTGCAGTACATTTGGAGTATTACGGCACATTTATAATCCTGTCCTACTTTACCAATTTCCCTTTGGGACAGGTTTTTCCTTCAGTGTGTCTTTTTTTTTTTTTTTTTTGTACCCAATAAAACACACTGCGGAAATTCTAGCCACTAGTTGCGCTACTGAGCAGCATTTCTACAAGTGGGCTAGACTGGATGATCTGGATGTCTGTTTGTTGTGCCAACTGTAACTGGAATTTTTTTTTTTAAACTTTGATGTTTATATATATATATAGTATGTACGTATTTATTTATTAAATATATTTCTAAAATATATGCACTAAAATACCTGGCTCTGTCAGTATTCTAATGTAAAAAGCACAAAACCTATTAAAAAGATATATGCTGAATATGAACAAATTACCTTTTAAATTATTGGCACAATCTTTTCATTATCTTGACAAAATGTAAACATAATCCAGGTGAAATTAGGGCCTCCTCCCAAATCTACTTCCTGTTGCAAATTAGCTGTAAATAAAGGTATTTCCAGGAGACAGATTGGGGCTGAGCTATAACTGCAGCCCAGATAATAAGTGTATATATTACACAGGCCAACACACTGTTGCCTGTATCATTATCAACTTATGATAAAGTAACCGTGGCCCCGACTCATGTGCCCAGGAGAGGTCATTATTTTTTAGTGTCCACTGGAAACGGTTTGATTTGTGACCTCACCTGGTTTTCTTCACAGCAACAACTTTTTGGTTTGTTTGTGTTTCTGTGTTTGTTTGCGATTTTTTTTTTTTTTTAAGTTTTACCTCGACATACTTTTTACTTTACATTACAGTATTTCTCCATTTACTGTAAACCATGTACAACGCATTCTACTAGAGTGAGGAGGTAATAAATATCTGTTTATGTTAAAGGGGTTTATTCATCTTTAAACTGTTATTTACATTTATAAATTATTTAATGGTTCTAATCTATGAACAGATGTCTCTTCTGTCTCTCTCTCTCTCTCTCTCTTCTCTCTCTCCCTCTGAGAAAATGACTGAATTGTTGAAAAGCCACGTTGTTACCAAAGTCCTCGTGTCTTCATCACTCCACTCGGTTCTGTATATGTTCTTCTGCCTCATTTTTTTTAATTTTTATTATTATTAATGTTCATTCTCAGTTCCATTTTGGAACCAAATGACTTTTCCTCTGGTCCCCATGAGTATATGAAAACAGAAAGAAAAAAAAACCCAAAACACACTCACACTCATTGTTGCAGATAACAGATGTTGTCCTTCTTTTAATTAAAGCCAGCAAATGAAGACATTGTACTTAACTCACTGCTGCAGAAACAAGCCCCAGCAGCAACCCCCCCCCCACGCCCCACCCACCCTTTTTCTCTCTCTCTTTTTCATTTCCATTATCCAAAAATCAGCCACAGCTTGTTAAAAAAAAATATTTTTTTTCTTCCAAGGACAGAGAGAGACGCTGTAGAGTCCTGGACTGTCCTGCTGATGTAAAGACACTCACATTGATGTTAAATCACAGACACACGTGGTGCAGAGTGGACATGTGTTGTCTTTTGTCCACCAGGGTGTCCTGAACAACGGTAACGACGCCCTGATTAATCGGTAATCGGTGTTGTGGGGATTTTTCTTTTTTTCTGCACCATGACTTCAACAAACTGATTTCACAAAGGACAGGGCTTTGGTTCTTTCCCCCTTTTTTTAACACTTTTTTAGCCTTTCTTATCCAAAAAAATTCTTGAACTTTTCCATTAAACTCTCCTTCTTGGCATTGCAGAGATTTGACTGACAGCATGAGAATTCAAACCCAGGAAGTGTGAATCTGACGGCCAGAGTCATGAAGTCACAGTCTGCATACCTCACACAGCTGGTGTAGGTCGTCCCTGAGGGGTGAGGGGTGGGGGGGGGAGAGGGGTGAGGAGAGAACATGGAAATGAAAACACAATCAAAACACATCAGACAGGAGGAGAAGCAAATACACATGATGTCATACATGTGATGTCATCAGCCAGTCTCCTGAGACGTAACCATGGCGTCCGTGGACATTCAACGCATGCAAAAAAAAAAAAAAATCCCTAATGTTTATGTAAGAAGTCAGACATTAGCCAAAGGATAACTAGAAGTTAGCCAACAGGTTTCTGAAAGTTAGTGAAAAAAATTAATTAGAATGAACTCAGAAAATTGCAAAATATTACATCAGTGAGACAGTTATTATAAATAGCTTACAGACAAAAAAAAGTCACAGAGAATTAAAAAAGGAATTGATAAATATAGCTCACATTTTCCACAAAACATGACTTAGAGTTCTCCCCCCAAAATAACTAAGGCTTTTCAAAAGTAATGCAGCAAAAAACAATAAGCCAAAAATAAATACAAATGTGACAAAGAAAAGGCCAACGTTTTTGATAAAGACTGGATTTACTTGATGGAGAGGTAGATTATTATAACTTTGGATGAAGTTTTTAACTTTCTTGTTTTGTTCTGACAGGCTTACCCTCAGCTTTGACTGTCAGGCAGGAGTCTTCACCCTGGTTACAGTCCTGTTTGACTTCACAGCTGCTGGTTGAACCACCAGGACAGGAATAACACTGCAGGGAGGAACCTGCAGAGACACAGTCACCTCACCCATCATCCTTCACTCTGGGAGGGGGGGTGCAACGTACACTTCTGAATGTGAGCTCTTCTTCCCGCGAGAAAAAAAAAGTATCTGTCTGTCTGTCTGTTCACCATATTTTCATATCTAAGCTAAAGATAAACTTAAAAGATTCCAATTAGCTTAAAAATCCAATTCTAACTTTGAGAGAAGTCAAAAACTTTTATTTCTTACCAAATCCAAACAGGGCAAAGCTGATGCCGAGCCAGAACGCCACGCTGGTTTTCATGATGACTGACAGCAACGTTTATCTAAAAGGAGCATAAAAAAAGGTCATTAGTTCATTAGTCGTAGTTCACAACTTTCTATTTTTACTTCATTTCACTGTTCACTGCAATTTTTCCACTGCGGCAACATATATACAGTATATACGAAATATAGAAATTTAAACCCATTTGATGCTGATTGCTGAGCGGCCCTACAGTAGTCCCCGCCCCACACTTTGGCAACCACTGCTTTAGGTCATACGCCTCCTCATGTTGCCAGTGCAAAACAAACTGAACTCTGAGCCCAGTTTGAAACTTGACTAAAACCTGTTTCAACTTGTAGGAATTTCCCTGTAAAACCAACACAATAGTCCTGATCACAGCGGCACTGACAGGAAACCACGGCAGAATATACGGCTTTTAGAGGCACACTCTTTTCCAACTGCTAATTCTCCTGACTTATCCCTCCATGAGTGCCACAGATGAGTGCATCCAAAATACTGCAGGTGCTGGAACAATGAAGTTAAAGTAGAGAAACAAAAATAGAAGAAAAAAAAAAGTCCAGTGTGAAGGCTGAGGCTCCCTTCATTGCAGTTTTAATGAGACATCCACCATCCACTGACACTCTTCCTGCAATAATAGCCGCTCTTCTGCAGACTCTGTGGCCTGACTGTGAAATAAATAAGCTGCACTCATCCAACACTCACCTGTGAATGTGCAGAAAATGACTCTGTGCTTGTGAAGTTCGGGCGGTTTTTGAAATTTGCACCAACACGGCGAGTAAACAAGCCCGTTTGTTTGGGTTCAGAGTCTCTGTGTTGATTTGTCTCCCGTGTCTACAAATTGGGCAATGCATCCTCTGAGTGTGTGTGTGTGTGTGTGTAGGTGTAGACAAAAAAAAACGAACAACAATTAATATAAAAAAAGAGTTACTATTATAAATGTAGGATTTCTATGCATCTAATGTAGATTATTTTAAACGAACTGGTAGTGAACAGGAGACACGTCTACGAAAACAACAGCAAAAGAAAAAGATAAATAAATGAGTAAATACTGATTCAGCTTGTTATTAATCAGTCAGTCATTAATTATCAGACATTAACAACCAGACAATAAGGTATGAGTGGAGGACTGTCCAGGCTGTAACGCTGCCCCCGTCTGATCACTGCTGGGATCTGCTCCAGATCCTGCTGCAACCCTTCAAAGGGTTTAACAGTAGAGGGAAAAAAGTGAACAGCAGTGAAACCAGTAGAAACTATAAGGAGCTCCTCTTATGGCAACGCTGCTGTTTATGTTGTTTATATTTATTTATAACTGTTCAAAGTGGGTGAGCAGCAGAGCGCTAGGAAGTGCTCCTCTGTTAGGAATTATATGGCTTGACTCTCTGAAATGCAGTACAAGACGTAGAGATGAGTTTAAATACGTGTTGTCAATTGTTAAAACAGTAGTGAGATCTGCTATGATGTGTGTTTGGAAGACACTTCCTTATATATATTTGCTTACTATACATATATGTGTTACTACTATGTGTGATGAGATCATTTCAGTTTATGTTTTCCCGCCCCTGACGTTCACATCCAGCTTTCCCGTCGTGTTTCTTCCACTCAGATTTGGATTGACACCACATTATCAGTTTCTACTTTTTGTCTCCTGCCTCGGTTTAATTGCTACGACTAAAAAAAAAAAAAAAACCTGGCACCAGCTGTTTGTCTGCTCCTAATCTCCGTGAGCGCGGAATGAAACATGCATTCATTTGCATTTTGCTTTTAAGACGAAGCCTCACATTGTTGCTCACTGTTGCATTAAGCAACAGGAAAACCTCTAAAAAAAAAAAAAGAAAAAAAAATCACAAAACTTCAAAGTGATTGAAGTCCGTCCCAGACAAACAGTTCTCATATCAGCAGTGAAAACCCCGCGCAGGGAGATTTCTCCTTATTATTTTACCTTTTTGTGGAATTCATTCTACTGCAGTGACACAGAGTTTGTGTCAATAAAGGACTTAAAGTCTCCTGCAAGTGTTATGAGTTTCATAATCCTGAATCTCTCTCTATCTCTCTCTCTCTCTCTGTCTTTGCAGATCATTATAAGCCTGGACGACTGCTGCAGGCATGGAATCAGCAGAGTGCACACACACACACACACACACACGTATGCGTGCAGCAGAAGCATGAAATCGAAGTTCACGTTACAGTTTTTCCACTCTAATTATTCCCTTCGTGGACCTTCAGCCTCTTTTTAATCAGCTGCATCAGGTTCTGCAGTAAATAATGGCTGAGGTTCCTCTGTTACCTGTGGAGTTGACTGAAATCTGTCACTGTACGCCTCCATTCAGCCACAAGTGATGATGATTTTTTTATTTTTATTATGAGTATAATTCAGGCGTGAAGACTCTGAGTGACATTTTCCAGGAGTGAAGCTCACACACTGTCTCACACAGGTTTGGAGTTTTGCCACCTGAAAGCAACACGACTGCAGTTATTTGGGTTAATGACGGCCGCTCTGCTGCTCATTACTTTCTTGTCTGGGGTGGAGCTAAAGGCCGGTGTAATGAGGCAAACAGTCGGTGGATTCATTTGTTTCTGGTGCCAGTTAAAGGTTCTTTGTTTATCAACCTCTGGGTTCTTCACAGCGGCTGCAGAAGTGTCATTACGGCCAAGGACGGAACACGACCACTTTGATTTTGACCTCGGACTCTGAGAGTGCAAATACAATCCACCAGTGGTCCCACCTTTATAGACCCTCAATGGAACCTGCTTTGGATTGGTCAGAGATACTGTGTTGGTCCAAATGTGACGCATTTTTTTAAAATCACCTTTTAAAAATGTTTGTTGCTTTTATCCCTTTTTTTGGACCGTGATTCACACTCACATTCACATCGATGGTTCATTTATTCACCTCGTCCTGTAGGAGTTTGGACTCTGGAAGGATTCCGATTCACACTCACATTCACACCGATGGTTCATTTATTAACCTCCTCCTGTAGGAGTTTGGACTCTGGGTGGATTCTAGAGAATTTGAAAAAAAAAACTAAATGAAAAAGAGTATTTACAGTATTTTTTTTCAGTTGTGTCTTTAACGTCTTATACATTAATGTCACTCACTCATTTACAGCTGTGTTTCTCCTCTCTCCCTCCCTCACCCTCCCTCCCTCCAGTCGACCACATCGTTTCTCTCTTTCATTTCCCAGTCCACTGAGTTAAATATGGGAAAAAACCAAAACCAATCAGACCATGACGTGGTTATTATTTTTACAGATTTATTTTAATTTCCCTCTCTCTCCGTCTCTCATTTCCATGTGTTCCTTCTGAAGATTTAAACTAACAAATTAATAAATCATTAACATTTGACCAGTGTGTGTACACAAACATGTCTCTCTCTCTCCCTCTCTCTCTCTCCCAGATTATCCACAAATGTCTGTAAATGAATACTTCTACAGGAATCCTCAACACAAATTTGCACAATTATGCAAATCTTCCTCCAGCAGAGCAGGATTGCACAACAAATCCAGAAAATGAAAGACTGGACTAAGAACTCACCGACCGAGAGCTGCTTTAGAGAAAATCCTGTTTCAACACCTGGATGGAGTTTAGATTATAGATTATATTCATTTTTGTTTCAGATTGAATGTGGTTTTTGTACAACAGCATTTGAACCAAGGTCACAGTTCTGTAATGTCCCACTTCTGTCTGGTCCCTGAACACCCACGCAGTAAGGACAAACACACACACACACACACACACACACACACAGATCCCACAAGACAGCAGTTTCCAACTTGTGCGGTCACTTCCAGGACTCTGACAATGAAGTGGTGTAGCTGCCCTGTAATTAGATGGTGTCAATTAGTCTCCTCGTTAGGGGGTAATCAACTTAATTGGTGAAGGCTAAAGACTGCTGTTAGCACAGTTAGCACCTAATGTTGGTTACAGTGGCTGTTACAGAGGGTCTGTTTTTCTGTCTCTGTGTGTTGTGTCTGTGTGTGTGTGTGTGGGGGGGGGGTCCACATTAACAGAAGTTTCTGTAGGTCATGTAAGGGTTAATACAGTAATTAATGACATGTGCTGTAGTCACAGAGAGAGAGAGAGAGAAATGGTACAGATATAGAATAATGATCATAAATGACCTGAGTGTCCATCCATGTAGGACACTTTCTTTAACCTTCTCTTCTTTTTTTACATACCCTCCCACCCCTCCACCACTCCCCCCTCACTTCATTTCACTGTTTCTGTGAAAACACCCAGAACTGTTGGCTTGGAACCAGAGCAGACATTGGTTTGGAGATTTGGTTATGTGTTTGTATAGAATCATATGTTCGAAGACTGTAAATAATATAGAAGAAGAAGAAGAAGAAGAACTTGATTCTATCATGAGACCATTCTTTGAGACAAAAACTGCATCCTGGGTATTTTTTAGACAATTAGTCCACATCACGTCACCAGTTCACTGCTCAGTCCTTTGAGAAAGGTCAGAGTGGTCTGTAGTTCCATCAGTCTCCATGTGTCCTCCACCTCCCATGATGGCTGGACAGATTTCCTGTAAAACCATCGAAGGAAGTGACACGACTCTCACCACAGAGTCCGTTCACAGCAGCTCTCTGCTCAGTTCCAGTCGTCGTCCTTGTCTTCTCCGTCTTTCTTCTTCTTCTGTTTCTTCTGTTTCTTCTTCAGCAGCAGATGGCGTTTCCCTGGTGTCATGTTTGAATTTCCATCCATTGGGAGAGAGAGCTGACGACGGTGATGTCAGCTCCAGCAGGCTGAAGCAGCTTATATCAACAGACACACGCTAATTATAGAAGACTTTTTATTTGTACTCATGTATTTTTTACTTTCATTATTTGTTGACTAACCCTGTCTCTTTAGGTTCAGGTTCTCCTCCAGCTTCAGGACACCGTCCTTCTGGACATGACCAACATAAAGTCTCATGTCCTGCTGTCGCTAAGGTGAAACATTGGTTTCAGAGTTTTTTCTCTGTTTTTGTGGGACTGAAGCTCTGGATGGTTTCACGGTCGATCTCATCTTCTGTTTATGGACGTGTGGTCATTTACAGAACTGCGCTCCCTGGAGGAGAAGGTGGTCGGCGTGACAGAGAGAGGTGTCCGTCCTGTTGCTCAGCGTGTCAGGAGACACGCAGCTGGATTCAGACTGGTGGTGGTTTGATCTCAGCCTCCTCCAACTGAAGCTACATCTTCATCACTGGTTGATGTGATTTATTATTTAAAGAAAAGGAGAAGCTCAGGATCAGCTGTAAACACACACACACACACACACACACTTCAGCCCTTCATTCTTTACTCCACCACAGGACCATGCAGCGGCCGCAGAGATCATCAGGGTGTGTGTGTGTGTGTGTCTGTGTGCAGATACCTCTTGGTTCCTGTTTTACATTTTTTATGTTTCAGTCATTACATGTGTGTGTGTGTGTGTGTGTGTGCACCTCTGAACATGTTGTCCTTTGCTTTCTGTTGCATTCAAGTGTGTGAGTGTGTGTGTGTGAATGCCCGTGTTCAGTCATGCATATATATGTGTGTGGGTATGTGTGTGTGTGCGTTGTCCAGGGAACATATAAGTGGATTTGCCGTCATGCCTTTATTTCTGTCGTGGAAACATGGGCATCAGAGAGAAAGTAGGTCTGAGGGTTAGAAGGAAGTGTGAAGGGAGAGTGTGTGTGTGTGTGTGTGTGTGTGTGTGTGTGTGTGTTGAGAACATCCACAGGTTCACATGACAGACAGCAGTTACATGACAATCATCACAACAGGGTGAAAAACAGGTCACTGGACTGAGCTGGGTCTCCAACACTGTAGATGGGGGGGGGTCGAGGGGGGGTACTGAGGCAGATGTCCAGGATCCCATGTCGTAAGCCAGCTTGTTTACGTCTGTGTGTGTGTTACTGTCTGGTAGTGTGTGTGGACGGTTGTTCAGCCAATCAAGTCAATGTCCTTCCCTCCAGTGATCTCTGTAGCCCACGGCCTCCGACTGTTGACCTCAGTCCACGTCTCAGACCTCCGCCAAAAACAGATCCTGTTTAAAAACAAAAACAAAATCAGTGTCTGTGGACTTTCTCGTTTTCCACAGACACAATTAAAAGATTAATTTCTCCAGACATTTCTTGTTCCTCAGGTTTTCTGGTGATTTTCTCCGCCGTACGACTCCAGGGAAATGAAAGTGGCTGCCCACTCATGTGCAGAGTACAGAGGTGTACAATAACAGACTCTGACAACAACAGGAGCTGTGATGTAGCAGTGTAAGCAATTTTGTACCAAACTTAACCGAATTAGAATAGATTACAAAAAAGCAGTCAGTTATTTTACAGGTGATTGACTACAGAGTCAGAGAAAACTTTCTCCCTCAGTGTGAAGCTCCATCATGTCGTGTTGTGCTGTAGAGCTTATATAATCAGAACGAGAAACAAACAGGGAAATAATACAAGGGATGATGAAGCGAAATGTAATTTTTCTATTAGCAATTAGTGACACCTAGTGGTTTTAGAAATACATATCAGACCGGTTTAAACTGCCAATTTCAAAGCATTAGCATTTACAGATTATTAAAACACTTGAAATTGAAAAGACAACAATTCAAATTATTAACGTAAAAAGAAAGAGTTAATGAGTTTATATTCCAGATGAAGTACGGCGTTCTAAAGATTCGCCACAATCTAAGTTTAAAACAAATTAGAGTAGCAGAATTAACAACGGTTGAGATAATTACTTCTTTTCAAATAAGTACTACTCATCATTCTATTTGTTTAATCATAGAGAATATTAAACGCTATTGTATACTTTTTAAAAAGGCTTAATAGAATTAGATACCAATGAGCAGCAGATGGCGCCACTGGAACTATAACTCACGCGTTTGAGGGACAGAGATTGTGACGAGTATGCTTTTATTTTGAAGTGTGAAACCGGAAATGTGAAGAACGGCTGCTGTGACAGCGGCGGCGGCGGTGTGTGTGAGTGCGGGCGTTTGTATTAGAAACAGTTGAATCAGTGCACTAACTGGAGAGAAGTTGAAGAGTTGAAGTTGTCACTCCATGTTGAGGAGCTCGTGTCACTTTAGTCAGAGTGTCTCCGTGTCGTTGACCAGTTCACCTCCGGAGATGAAGGAGTGATTTTAAAGGTGAGTCTTTGATTTGCTTTTTGCGTAGTTTGCAGAAGAAAGAATCCCGTCCGACTGGTCTCTACGACTCAGACTGATCCTCGTTTCTCCTCTGGAGTTTTGTGTTGCTGTGGTTTGTGTTACATTTTGTGATCATTTTTTAACATCGTCGTTGACGACCTGCTGTAGCGTTGTGGTAACGAGTCCACCCGGTGATGCTGAGACTCTTTTGACATGAATTCTAGTCTGTACTTCCAGTTTCGATCCCGGCAGGGATTTGTGGATTAGTCAGTGATCGATCTCGTCTAAACCAATCAACAGTTAGTTTTCTATCGTTGACTTCTGTGGTTTAACTATATTCATGTGACTTAGTAGGAAACGTGTATTAAAAGATCTAGACAGTACTCACCTGAGTATTACCTGAGTATCATTCTTTAATTTTTTTTAAAAAATTTGTGTGAACACAGGTGGATATTATAAGGTGTATGGAAGTCGATTTTCTTAATATTGTGTCTTAGAAACAAAACAATCTTCTATTTTCCCACTCAGTACACAGAGAGAAGATAAAGTTTAGTCACAACATTTACAAAATAACAACTTGAGATTTTTGTTCGGAAAACCTAAGATAAATTCAAATCCTGCCTAAATACACAAATTCCGCCAAAGTGATTGCAAAAAGTTTTTTAAAAAAACATACAGATAATCTGCCATATTGTCATATTATTGGTCTCATTGTTATTGTTTTGACAGCTAGCCCGACTTGTAGCCACCTCGTCAGTGTTTCCTCCTGTTACGTCACTTCAGCTTCATTAGACTCAGACTTAACTGCTGTTTAAACCTGTTGTCGACGACATCAGATGTGTTCATCTCTGAGATATGAAGTTCAACTTGTTTGTCCACAGGTCTTGTCCAGAGCTCGTGCTGCCTGTGGGGTTACCTCCTCAGAGACGCAGGCTCTGCTCTTCATCCCAGCAGTAGACAGCTTAGCTCAGTACTTTTAAACTAACTACATCTGTTCACCCTCATGAACATGTGCAGGGTTTTATGAAATAATGGGGTTTTTCAAGGAGTAGGTGAGCAAAGTGTTTCCATGACACAGCAGGATAGTTCATTAGTCAGAGGTCTGTGAAAAGAAAAAGCTGTAAGAAGGGACGGAAGGGCGGCCTTCAAAGACAAAAAACAAAAGAGATAAAATAGAAGAAAAGAATGCACAGATGGAAGAGGAAGATGAAGAGGATGAAGGTGGAATTTGAGGAAAAAGTGATGAGAAAAATATGGTCCGACACTCAGAGATGATTCTGAGGGTTATCCTGTAGCTGCAACTAATGCAAGTCAGATGTTTATTCTTGGATTTGTTTGTCCAGAGAGAAGGATTCAGTTGGTAGGAATGAAGCAGAGTGAGGATTTGATGCAGATATTTATGACTGGTGAGAAGACAGATGACACTGGAACTTCTAACTTGGAAAATCGATAGAGTGCAAAAAATGACCAACTTATAATAGAATGAAATCGTGTATTAGCACCGATATATTTCTATTATATGTTTCTGTCTTTATAAAACTACATGTGGCTTCAACAGTATTACAAAGTCAGAGTTTAACAAACACGGAGATCAGAAACACAGAACTCCTGTGATTGGACCAGATTTTGACCAGTTTTGCAGAGTTTTAGAAACCAGAGTCAGTGTGAGTCCATTTTAAGACGTTTTAAAAACCACTCCAGTAATTAGTCCTGTCTGCATCTGCGTCTGACAAACTTGTTTACGGCTGTGCGCGGCCTCCGGTGAGCGTGTGTCTGTGCACACAGCTGGAGGAGTTCTGCGGGAAAAGGAGAAGTCTGTGAAATACTTGTGGTGTATGTGAGCATCGCAGTGAGACGAACAGCCACAGTGGGAGCACTTCTTTGTTTTAAAGAGTCTCAAAAGCAATTCCCTGACAAACAAAGAAGTCAAAAGTACCAGCTAATGAAAAAACATAAACGTTCACACACTTTCGTTTCCACATTTGTGCAACGTTGACTGATAATATTGTGTTGAATCATTTCCTTCACCAATAAGATTAAAGTAAAAGAAAAAGTAGAAAGTGAACTGCTTGTCATTGTGACACAGCACACACAACCAACTGTGACCTCTGCTTTTAACCCATCACCAACGTGAACAGAGGGCAGCTTTAAGGACCCAGGGAGCAGTGGGGGAGGGGGGGGGATGCTCAGAGCCTCAGTGGTAACTTGGCAGAGGGTACAATCGAACCTAAAACCTTCCAGACCCAAGTCCACTTCCTTAACCACTAAGCCACCACTGCTTTTATGTTGGTTGAAAAGACAAAAGTCTTTGTCTAATAATCATTTCTTATCCAAAATGTTTGTTTTTGTTTAGTCATAGATAAAATGTCATTAGTTTCTAAAAAAATGGAGGAAAAAAAACCCCCAAAGATTTGTCGATGTGTCATCCTCGCAGCTCTCCTCTCCTCTGATGTGATGGCAGAGCTCCCGTCTGGACTGTTGGAGGCGTGTGTCGTGGTCGGGGCCTCCAGTGATAAACTTCGAGATATACTCCAGGTATAAACACGGTACTGCACAAAGTTAGCCAAAAGCTAGTCAAATAACTACGGATTAGCCAAACAATTAAAAACATACAATGGCTAAATGTTAGTTTAGGTTCAATAGATAAAACATTAACCAGTCACGTAGCCAAGAATCTTAAAGCTCAAACCAAAGTCTAGATAACAGTGCAAATAATAGGTCACGATTTTACCTAAAAGTTAAAGGTTAGCCAAGTGCATTGAATGCTGAATGTTAGCTTATCAAAAATAGTTAACTGCCGTTAAAGTCCATGCTAACACTGTCACATGTTTTTCAGCTTCATCAGCAGAACAAATTAAACGACCACACCGTGCTAGAAGCCGAGGTCCTGCAGGTCCACGCACCTCCGTTTGTTACCAAAGAGACCAACTCCAGTCAGGCCATTGGTCCGGCCTTCAGCCGTGTCCAGAGGAGGAAGAGCTTCATCAAGAAGGTTTGTTTTCACACTCAAGGACTGTTATGTTAATCTTGTAAAAAACAGTTTTGTTTGGAAAAAAAATGTTTGTTTTGTTTTGTTTTCCTGCAGAAAAGGCGAGACCGAGCTTCAGAGTCGTTAACCAATGGAGACACAGCAGGTCGGGCGGAGGCGTCACCAGCCACAGAGGACATCAGCGTTCCAAAGGACCTGGACCTCATCGCTCTGCCACAGCTTTGTTTCCCTGGTACAGTGGGTTTCCTCACGGGACACTTTTATCTCAGTCATGATCTACCTTCACTGGAGCGTTTTCAAAAGCAGAAATTCTCACCACTAGCTTTTATCAAGCCATTCAACATTTCAGCTCAGTGTAGTGGCGTCGTCTACTGAGCTGCTGCTGCTGCTGCTTGACTCGTCACTGTGTACACTGTTCTGTCTGAAACTAATTACTGCACGGTGGAAATGAACGTCCCCTCAGGGCCAGTACGTCTGCGCCTCCGTCTGATCTCCATCTTGGCTCCTGCACTAAACAGTAGTTATGAATGTGATGAAGCTGAATGTACCGTGCAGCTCAGTCACGTGATCTCCTCCCCGCTGTTCACAGGTGGTCTTCAGTTAGCCGCAGAGCAGCTGGAAGACAATTACCACTTCCTCGTTTTCACCGACATGTTTGGGAACCGAACCCACGGCGTCGTTGTGCAATATTACAGAGATGTGCAGGTACAAAACACACACACACACTTGTAACATGAGAAATACTGAGCGTGAAACCAGCTGAATCCAGTTGCTGTGTCAGTCGTGTCAGGAAGGCGCTGCCCAGAACGGTCACAGATGGAATTCATCAAAGTCCCGTCTCTACACTCCCTTCGCTGTGTGCATCATCTCCAAGTTCCCCTACTACAACGCTCTGAGAGACTGCTTATCGTGGTAACTGAGCCACAGTCAGAGTTCCACATCACTGTTCTTTAATGCACAGAATTAAACTTTTCTCCCTTTTTCCTCACCCCCTCCCCCAGTCTCCTGGTCCAGCTGCGTCCTGCAAGACACGCAGACTTTGAGGAAACGATCAAAGAGTTTTCTGCCAAACTGTCTCTGGTTCCTCTGCCTCCTCCTGGTCAGCTGCACGTGGTCAGGAAACATTTACCTTTTCAGAGTTCTTCTCCTGCTCTGTGTAAGCGTTTTGTGTTATTTAATAATGCATGTGTGTGTGTTAGTCCTTCAGTCTGCGCCCCCTTCAGGTGGTTCTTCCGTCCAGGGACGATCCAGACAGTCCAGTCATCGACATCGACCTTCATCTTCCGTTCCTCTGTTTCACACACACCGGTCTCCTGCAGGTGAAAAGACAAGACAGAAAAAAAAAACAGCTGCAACTGAGCAAAGATCACTCCAATAATAATAAGTCGATCATATTTTTTGTTTTAATCTGTGTTTGATCATGAAGTTACAGCAGCTACTTCTAGTCGTCTCCTCCTCAGTTTGATTCCTTCTGTTCTTCATCGTCCATTCTTTAATTTGCACCAAATTACAGTAATTAAATCAAATGTTTTTGGCAGTAAAAATCCAAGAACGTAACATGGTCCAGCAGTGTTGGACTGTGGGCTTCAGTCATGGCTGAGAGTTGTGTGTGAAGAATGTTCCCTAGTGGTTTAATTATGTAATTACAGAAAATTGTCCATAAGAATTTCTCTTTATACATTTAACCTCTGTCTCAGCCAATATAATAAGATCTAACATCAAGTGATTTGATTGGTGACATTTTCCTGTCAAATCTTCAGCTCCTGCTGCTTAGAAGTTTATTATTTTATACATTGGTTCAAACAGTTTGTTTATAATCAGTGACCTGGCGCCGCCATCTTGAATACCAGAGGTGAGAACTAGATTCCACACCTCTGTGTCATTCATGTCAGTGTCATTCTTTGGAAAATGTTGACTTAAACCCTCAGTAGTTCAGACTTGTCGTTTCTCTGTGTTTACACTCAGACTTAATCCTCACATTCGATCTACTTAACACCGCCAAAATGTTGTTTATGTACAGCTTTCCCGTGCCGTCATGGTAGGAAAGTATGAGTGTTGTAACTCACCCTCTCCCCCACTCTCCCCCTTCCTGTACTGTAGGTACTTTCCTGCCTCCTTCAGGAACAGAGACTGGTCTTCTTCTCCTCTGACTGGGCCCGTCTCACTCTGGTTGCAGAGAGTTTGCTGTTGTACCTGCAGGTGAGTGTGACCGGAACATCCCGTCATTCGAGTTCTTTACATTTAAAAAAAAAATCCCCTCTGTCATTCCTTCCTTTTCCCAGCCTCTGTCCTGGCAGCAGCCGTACGTCCCTGTCCTGGCCCGGGGAATGTTGGACTTCCTCATGGCTCCCACGGCCTTCCTGATGGGCTGCCACATCAGTCACTTTGAGGAGGTTGCTGCTGTGGGTATCTGTGTTGAAGTTGTTCATTTAGAGAAGAGCAGTGTGCAGTTAGAGTGTTGAAGTTGTTCATTTAGAGAAGAGTAGTGTGTAGTTCAGATCAATCATCTTAAACAACCGTATTTTTTTCAGTAGGTGAAGAGGAGACTGGTGACAATGACGGTTCAGTCTCCGCTGCGTTCATGTTTATTCTTCCAGAAACAGCACATCCACCATCAGCTGTCTGTTCATTTAACAGAGCTGGACACAGGCAGATTGTGTTGTCAGAGAATTAGACCCATTGTGTTAGTAACAACAACAACAGCGACTGTGATTGTGATGGTGTCTGTTCTTGTCTCACTGAACAGGAGACGGAGGATCTGATCCTGGTGAATGTGGACGACGGCACCATTCAGTCGTCCTGGTCTGAGACCATCGACCTACCGTTTATTCCGCTGGCTGCGGCTGAGTGCTTCACGTCACGGTAACTCACACACAGCGTACAGTAGGAACACTGAGAGGAGGTTGTTGTCTCTGAGCTGCAGTGAAGCCTCGGCTGAAATCAAAGCCTCGAGTCAATCTGATTAGTCATAACATTCTGCTTGAATTCCAGTTCAATCTAATTACACGTGCTACTCCGATAAAAACACTCACTCACAGACAGAGCCTTTAAACTCCTCGCACTTAACTCCTCCCATTGTGCAGCGGTGCCCAAAGTAGGAGGCGCGGGCCCTTGCAGGACGTGTGGAGCTGAATTTTTGGCCAATTCCAGTCTGACAAACTGTCGAATCCGGTTTACTAAATAAACATTGAATAATAAAGTTGAACACAAAATGGATTTCATTCTGTCCCTCTGACAGATACACTCGGTGACCCCTGCTGTACATTATTTCAGTTGCGTGTTGTATTCATGTGCAGGGCCGAGTCTCTGCAGCTGCACTATGACCTGGAGCTGTGTCACCTTGGAGTCGGCACCGACGCTAACACTCTCCGCTGCCAACGACGGGACTGGCAGAGACGGCTGAACACACAGATCCAGAACATCTCCCTGGAGTTGGTGGTCAACATTTTCAGGTAGGTCTGTGCAGGTCTGCTGTGGTCACTGGGTAGAAACGGTTTTCTCACACGTCTCACGTCTCCTCCATCAGAGGAGTCCAGGACTTCCTGAACCATGAACACAGAGTTTTTAACAGCGAGGAGTTCCTCAGGACCAGGGACCCTGGAGACCAGTGCTTCTATAAGAAGGTGAACACACACTCTGACCTGTGCACTCACCACGTTCCACTGAGCTCCATATGAATGACTGACTTGTCTACGTCTCTGTCTCCAGGTGTTGGATACTCACTTCTTTCACTCATTCCTGCGAGACAGGCTCAACAGAAAGCAGGACTCCTTCAGCCGCATGGAGCAGAACACACGTTCACACAGGTATGAAGCCTGTTACATGCTGTCTGAACCTGTAACTATCAAACCAGGAGGAGGCGCTGTCTGTGAACTCTCTGTATCCTGATGCTGTGTCTGCAGGAACCGAGCCATGACGGAGTCCCCCCGACGTCCTCCCATGTCTGAACTGTCCAGGACCGGCTACAACAGCTACACGAGTCCCAACGACAGACTGAGTAAAAGGCTGGGAGCCAGTCTGCCAAACCTGGAGCAGTCTGGGACCGACCACGTGGCTCCCATCGTCTGCAGCAGACCAGCCTCCCTCAGGAAGATGACTCCAGATATCGGTCAGGACCAGAGACCAGAGACTGAGATGAGGCTGAGATGTTACACCTGATTAACAGTTTGTTCGTTTTTTATTCTAGGATTAAAGTTTCTTCAGAAATCAGTGAAGGTTTTCCGTCTCCCAGAATTCCCTCCTCCTCTGGCCTACCATTACGTACAGAACTATTATTCAGACATGGTGGCTTTACTGGGGAAGGCTATTAACACGACAACGTCTGAGGAGTCTGCCCTCCTGGCTCGGTACTACGAAACAAGTTATTTCAAAATGTAGAACCATCAGTTCACAGAGTCGGTGATCTAACACTGTCCACCTCTGTCTTCTTTCCAGGTATCACTATCTGCGTGGTTTGGTGAACACTGTGTCCAACAGGCGTCTGGACGCTCTGGAGGACTTTCAGAGTCTTTACAAGACGGACTCAGAAATCTTCCCCTCTCAGATGGTCAAATCTCTGGTCGACTCCCTGCCGGAAAGTGAACGGATACAGGTTTGTCTGAAAAAGCTGTGGTGGCTGCGATGTGCAATACTTTGTTCAACTGCAGTACCTTAAATATCCTGCAGGCAAACAGACAAACACTGTTATAACTCAAACTAAAGCAGCTTAAAAAAACATCTACAGGCAAACAGACAAACACTGTTATAACTTTAACCAGCTGTCGTTTAGAGATTCACGGCTGATCCTGACCCTCCGTCTATTTTATTTTATTTTATTTTCTAATTATGTTAAATTGAATCTCTCTTTTCTAATGAAAGTTTCATTTGTTCAAAAAGTCCGTCTTCTTTCATCTGAACCTGCACACAGGCCGACAGACGTCCGGAGCTGAAAAGGCTCATTAGCCGAGTCAAGAGGGACCAGGAGCGGGAACGTGCTCGCAACAGCATCGGGACTGAGGAAGGTGCTGTAAAGCGCTTCCAGCTGCCGAAAAAATATATGCAGCTGGAGGAGTTTGTGAAATGCGTCCAGGAGTCTGGGATTGTGAAAGACCAAGGAACGATACACCGGCTGTTTGATGCCCTGACTGTGGGTCAGTACTGCATCATCTATAGTCCATGAAGCTGAAGCAGCTCTCCCTCTACTTTGACTTCTCCCCTTTTCCATGCAAACAAATTTTCCCCTAGTTAATAATTACCTCAGCACCGCTGAGTCCTGCAGCCTGATGGTTATTGGTTGGTTATTTAGGGATTTGGAGCTGAATGGAAACGAACTTTGTTCCTTTTCCTTTAGATATTTAGGAATGTTTTTTCTTCACACCTGAAGTTTCTGCTTGTGAGCAGAGTTGAAAACAGAAACGTGTGGCTGTGAGAGTGACCTCAGGGTGACCTGAAAACATTCCCGACTCAGATACTCAGATTCACCATGTTAGGAAGCTGCTGAGAAAGTACACTACATGTGATCCGGATGTGTGTTTTATCAAAGATAAGAAGTCAGGAGAGGAAGAAAATATTTCTCCTGAAACTTTAAGCTGAAAGTTTTGACTACGAGAGCGAAAGCAGATGGAGACGAGGGTGAACCAGGAGTTTGTGTTTGTTAAGGCTATAAAATGCTCTGTTGTGAGTGACCTATGACCTGGATTGAACACTTTAGGATCCTGAAACAGGATGTAGGTCATGCCAAAGTGCTGACTCATTTGAAAATACATGGAAGTGAATATGAAGTGTTCCTAAGACGACACGTTTGTTGCTGCAGTACCACAGTTCCACCAGTGTGGGGACATTTAAGGTCAGTCTAATCTAATCCAGTCTCTGAGGTCAGTGTAAAAAAAAACACAGATAAGAATTTTAAATAGTGCGCCCAGTGTTTTAGGTTTGAGTCAAAGTCAGAGCTGTGTAATCACTTTGACTAAAGTCGAACTTTAACAGAAATAACTGTTTAAATTCATCCATCTCTAAGTCACAGGACAAAAGTTCAAGTAAAAACATTAGTTAAGAGTCTTAATCACTGAAAACATTTCAGTTTTGCTCAAATTTAGAACTCAGATATAGAGTCACTGATTGAGTCACTGATGAGAAATAAAACAGGAACTGGAGTTTTTGAACTTTGATTCAGTGAAGTCTGTGACCTCAGTGACGTCTGGACTTAGATTTACCTGGACTTTCAGGTCAGTCTTATAATCACAACGCAAAAGTCCCTCAACTTTATAAAAGATGTAACATATTAAATTAGACTAATTTGTCTTGTGACTTTTACAGTGTGAAATACAGTATGACCTCAGTGGGCAGTGGGGCCGTTAATGGGGAGCTGTGTGTGTGGGAGGCAGGGATGGGGGAGGGAGGGGGAGACCAGCCTGCACACACTGCTCCACTGTGTGCAGTCATTGTTGTCACACATAGAAGTACTCACCCCCCCCCCCGCGCCCACACCCCAGTTTTATTCATGCTGATAAATGTAAATGCTGTGAAGATGTTGCTCCAGTTTCTCTTTGTTTGAACGAACTGAGACTTGAATGCATTTCTGCGAAGACGACATGTTCTCATCTGTGTTTTAACTTGTCTGGTGTGTGTGATGCAGGTCATCAGAAGCAGGTGAGTCCAGACCTGTTCAGAGTGTTTTACACCATCTGGAAGGAGACTGAAGCTGAGGCACAGGAGGTCTGTATCCAGGTCTTTTCAGTGTGGTCAAACATGAGGCCCGGGGTGTCAGAAATGGCCCGGCCTTCAGTGTCACATCAGTAAAAACCCTGTGTTGTTGTCAGGTGTGTTTGCCCTCATCTGTGTTGGAGCACATCGAACCCAGCGAGTGCGTCTTCAAACTGTCGTCCTCGGTCAAAACCAGCCGCGGCGTGGGAAAGATCGCCATGACTCAGCGGCGCCCCTTCCTGCTGACCGATGGACGGCCGGGGTACGTGGAAGTGGCACAGTACAGGGATCTAGAGGTGAGACACGGGTGAAGAATGGAGGACTTTGGGGGGTCTTCTCTGTCAGTGGGATACACAGCAGGTTATTCTGTGTCCTCCTCCACCCATCAGGAGGTGAAGGTCTCCTCTGCTCCCTTCCTCCTCCTCCGTATTCCCAGCCTGAAGTTGCGCGTTCGCGGCAGGAAGGAGGCGTTTGAAGCCAATCTGAAAACGGAGACTGAGCTCTGGAACCTGATGGTGAAAGAGATGTGGGCCGGACGCAACATGGCCGACCAACACAAGGTTCTGGTTTCTCTTTGTCCTGACCACTCACAGGACGTCTTTCAGTGTTACTTACTGTGTGTGTGTGAGTGTGTGTCGGTGTCAGTGCGCTCCGGTGACCTTTGTGGGTGTGGTTGAAATTCCATGAGGCGACATTACCATAGATACCAACAGTCACACACAGACGGGGGGCTTCCTTTGTGAAACCAGATGATGTCACCAAAAAAAAAAAAAATCATTCTCACACATCGGTTCTTTTTCTCTGTCCTCGTTCCTCTTTTCTTGTCGTCATTGACATCACAATGGACTTCACAATCCATAAAGTACAATGTAAAATATATATAAGTGTATATATATAAAAATGAGAGATCCAGTAATGAGGAGCACAGGCTATATTTAACACACATTTACTGTAAATGTGGACTAGAAATAGATCAGTTTGTGGAAATGTGACTCAGTTATTTTTCCCTATTTCCCAGAATGAGACTTTTTTACACTGGGTCATATACTCTATATATATACATGTATATTGTGAGGTGACTTTGTGAAGTTTTCATGTCAAGCATGTGGTTCTACTGCAGTACCTGTGACTGACTGTGTTTCTCTGCAGGACCCTCAGTACATGCAGCAGGCTCTGACCAACGCCCTGTTGATGGACGCAGCCGTGGGCAGCCTCCAAAACAGCAAATCCATCTACGCCGCTTCCAAACTGGCGCACTTTGACCGCATCAAGATGGAAGGTGTGGGAACGGGGTTTTTTTTTGTTGTTGTCCGTGTGGAAATTCAGAACTCCTCAGTTTATCAGAGACTCACAGGAAGTGGTGCTCAGAGTCTGATTGGCTCCCCGGAGTCCTGTAGTTTGTGTGAAGGTCGGTAAAGGTCACTGAACTATGTTTTGTCTTTCTCAAGTCCCCATGATGGTTCCCAAGACGACGGCGGAAACACTCAAGCACAAAATTAACCCTTCGCTCGAGCTCGCCGCCCCTCAGCCTGTGGATGTGCTGTTGTACACACCAGGTAAAAGCTCTCACACACACACACACACACACACACACACACACACACACGCAGACACTCTTCTCCTGCGTAGGTCATGTGGGCTGTAAAAAAGCCATTAATGTTTTTTTTTTACCAGCCTTTTTGTTATCACACCTACTGGCCAATAAGTAAGCTTCATCCATCACTGATCATAAGAAGTCCTTTCTGATTGGCCAGTGTGAAATACTGGGATTTGATTGGTCTTTTGGTTAGAAAAGTTGTTGGGTTTTTTTTCCCCCCCAGAGTGACAAAACTTTCAAAACGTTCCTTTACTTTAAACTGTCTGACGTTGAATCCTTGTCTTCCTCACCGACTTCTCTCTTTAGTCTGAATAAAGGTCACTGAATTGAATTCCTGGCACATGTCCACCCCACTCCCTGTCCCTGTCCCACCCAGCCCCTCCTGTCCATTCCTTTTCTGTTCCATATGTTTCTCACTTTCTGCATCAAGTGTCTCCTCTGGTCTCTGTCTGTCTCTCGGTCTGTTTGTTTTAACATCTCATTCCCGTCTGTTGTCCTTACGACACACACACACACAGGATGTCATGCTGTGTGTTTCTGTGAGTGGTGTGTTGAAGTGGTGATGGTTTCCTTCGGAGGAATTCTGACCGTTAGGGTGAAGCCTGGGTGGAGTCGGCTCTAGGAAACTACTGTAGGTGTTTTTATTCAAACCCTTAAATCACAGCAGAGGGAAAACTTTCAGACATTCCTGGAGCAACTTTCAGATTTCCGTCCTGTTCAGTACAAAATAAAAGTCACGCAGTGTAATTACATTGAGTCTTTAAACAAAAACTAGTCTGTAATGAACCGTTGAATTAAATTCTTTTTGTTTTTGGCCTCAGGTCAGCTGTGGGTGTCTGTGAGTGGGGGAAAGGTGATGGTGTTCGACGCCTCCAGCTGGTCCCTCACACATACATGTCATGTAGGGAACGCAAGACTGGTGAGTAGAGAGAGAAGAGTTTTGGGGGGATTTTTGTGATCACTTTAGGGAAAACCTTTGTTGTTTTTGTGTTTTTTTTGCGTTTTTTTTTTACTTTCTGAAAATTGAGCTAAAATTGAAGTGTTATTTTTTTTAAGGTTCTTCTCACTGCTGTGCTAATCACAGAGCTGTTCTTAAAGCATGCAGGTCAGGGTCACATGAAATCGTTAACTGTGTGTGTGTGTGTGAGAGAGAAGGACAGAGTCAACTACAATATTTGCACAGTCATCAGCAGCAGGTCACGTGATCTCTCCTCCACAGTGGTAACGTGGAGCGTGTGTGTGAGTTAAAGTGGAAAATGAGTGGAAAATGACAGTAAAGTTCATCAACAACATAGAACAGAGACCGTTGTCTCTCTCTCTCTCTCTCTCTCTCTCCTGCTGTTCACACTCTTTAATAAGCATTTAACATGGTGTAAAAATCCATTTAGTTCTCATTTATTTGTTTTTGTGGTGATTATTTATGAGCTTTTATGATTCGCGTTCAGGCAAGTGTTTTAGTTTATAAGAGCAATGATGCCATCTAGCGAAAGGGTTTGGTGTTGCACAGTGAGGCCCTCCCTATCAGATCAGGTTTGCTTTTCTACGCTCCTCCCTGTCTTCTATCGGTTTCCGTAGTGTAGTGGTTATCACGTTCGCCTCACACGCGAAAGGTCCCCGGTTCGAAACCGGGCGGAAACAATTATTATGAATTTTTTAAAAATGATCTTAAAGTCGAGGATCCTGCAAAATAATTAACTTGGATCTAAGGTAAAAATAAGTAACATAAGGTTATTCCTGTCTTAGAATTGCATGCTGGGAGTTGACAAGGACCAGGTGTGGATGGGCTCCGAGGACTCTGTCATCTACATCATCAGCATGGTGGCCATGGTGTGTAACAGACAGCTGACGGAACACAGGGCTGAGGTCACTGGACTGGCACTGGACACAGACAAATACAGGTCTCACACACACACATGTTGACATGTAATCCTCCCACGTCAGAAGTATGTCATTAATTTGTTCAAGATCAAGAAACTGATTTTTTTTTAAATAAGATGGCATTATAATAATCTTATTACTGGATCTGTTTATTCTACAGCCAGAAGGTGGCGTACTCCTGCAGTGCAGAGGGAGCTGTGATGGTGTGGGACATATCAACACTTCAGGTTTGTTATAATAATAATAACATATATATATAAATATGGATGATGGCTGGATAGATAGATAATAATATTCTAGAAACTTCCTCCTGTTGTTGTTCATACTGTATGTGTCGTTTAAAGACTTTTGTTTGTCTGAATTAAATCCCTCAGGTCAAGAGACACTTCCGTCTGTCGTGTGATCGTCTGCTGTCCGTCTTCAGCTGCAGTGGAAGTCTGTGGTGCAGTGAGTCTCACTTCTTTTTACACCGGGCGGGAAAACAGGAAAGTCTAAAGACTGAGAGTTATTGATCGGAACAGGAAAGTCTAAAGACTGAGAGTTAGTGATCGGACACTGTGTCTGTGTCTGTTGTTCAGGCTCCAGGGACAGCATCATGGAGGTGTGGAGGAACGGTTCTCTGAAACACCGTCTGAATCTGCCAGAGCAACAGAAAGGCTCCGTGTCCTCGTTCAGCTCCGTCCTGCTGCTGCCTGAGGTGTTTGACTCCGTCCACACTGCACCACAGTGTGACGGTCAACCATCACTTCCTGACGTTTCCTTTGAGCTGATGTGACTAATGTGTGAGTGTCAATTGTTTCTTCCTGTGTTCGTTCCAGAGGGAGGAGCTGTGGAGTGTGTGCACAGGCTCAGCAGAAGTGTGTATTTGGTCCATGAAGGATCACACCAAGCCCTTCCACCGGGTGACGCTGCAAGACTGCTCTGGATGTTACTGCTTAATCAAAGTCAAAAATCAGGTCAGTATTTTTTTATACAGCGTCGAACAACGCAGCAAGAAATTAGATAAAATTAAATTGTAATAAGATATAAACAATGTTTTTAAATAAGACATGAGCTCAGTAATAATTGTTAATTGTTACATAAATGAAGAAACGTTAACTTAAAAATGAAATACCCAATAATAAATTGGAGTTTTCCTCTGCAGGTGTGGGTCGGTGGCTTCAGCCGCAGCTCCACCAAAGGCAAGATCTACGTCCTGGACACAGAGCGCCACCAGGTGTTGAAAGAGCTCCATGGCCACAATGACAAGGTGACGGCGCTCTGTTCTGCTGAGGACCGTTACGTCCTCAGTGGCGCTGGAAGACACGACGGAAAAATCGCCATCTGGAAGGTGGAGTAGTGGACGTTATCAGACTGGATTGGACTGAAGAAAGATTCTGGAGAATTGAACTGGAAACGTCACGTGACTCCAGGTTCAACATCCATAGGAAACAATGAAGGAAAAAGCTTTAACCTGCTGCTGCTGAGTCACATGTCAGTGGAGCAAAGCTACAAGTTTACATCGTCACTGTCTTTGAAACAGGGATATGGATGATTAAAATCAGTAGTAGTTTTTTTTTTTTTTTTCAATATGAAGGATGAAAGCAGACTGAAAACAGAGGAGCACGTTGTACTGGACAAATATTTATATTTTTGACATATCTGACATTACTGAAGAGGTTTGTACTTTTTTATTTATTTATGTTAAATTCAAACTGTGCCTTATGTAACTGTACACCGGTGTTTTCATCAGACTGGTGTCATGAAGAAACACTATGTGACTGAGCCTCACCTCCAGCTGTGTGTTGGAGGTGAATCCTGAAGCTCAAGGTTCCCAGAAACTCACCTTCCTGTTACTGGAGAGTTCTCCGTCACTGTGGGAGAGCAGAACTTCGCTGTTAACATGTTTTAGCGGATGTTCCCCATACAGATGAGACGTCATGGAAAATATATAGTGGAAGGAGAAACCGTTGTTTGGAGCTGAACTCGTGATTAATCGCTGACGTGTGATGCACATCGATTCCTGTTTCTGCGATAACTCGAGTATTTTTCCACCAATTAAAAACATACAGCTGGACTACGACCAAAGTAACCTTAGACACAGGTTGTTTTTTTTCTATTTATTTATGTACGTTGTTTTCAGCTACAGTATTTTACAGAAATTTCTGATTTTACGAACCGAGAGTGTGTGAAAACACACAGATGTGTGTTGTACTTGGTCATCAATGCAAGTATCAGGTGCGTGTATAGAGCAGCCAGTAGGAATCTGCATATCCTTAGTAGAAAAGTAAGGCCGTATATTTCCTAATAAAGGAGCCTTTTAGATGTGAGGTCCACTGCCATGGGACAAATAAATAAAATATTCTAACTAAAGTTAATTTGCCCACTCTGCAATACACAGGTTACAGGTTGTTGTTAAAAACAGAAAGTGCCAACGTTAATGATCTCTGTGTTATTTTCACAGGAGAAACCTGAGATTTTAACAGAAGATTTAAACCTTTGACACCGACTCATTCCAGAGTTTTGTTGGTAAAGGTTATTCACAGGTATTCACCTGTGTACCTTAGCTACCTGTGAATAGTTTTTTTTTTTTTTTTGTATTCTCACAGTAGCAATGTTAACTGTTTTTGCACGTAAACATTTTCATTCCTTTGGCCTGGAAACATTACAGAGCCAATTTGTTGTAATAATTCAAACAAATCTGCAAGAAATGGTCTAAACAATAGAATATCACCTGCAGTTTGATTTAAGATTACATACTCGAAACGTGAATAATGTATATATATGCTGTATATATTTCTATATCAGTGTCTAGGCAGTTTTTGTTTTAGTTTGGTAATATACAAGCATTTGTTTTTGTCTCCAAGACGGTTGACACACTATTAAAAAGAAAATAGATAGAGAATAATAGAGTTTTTCTTAGTTTTTCTCTATTTTAATTTTCATTCGTTACTGCTGTTATGCCTTTCTTTCAATTCACCGCAAGAGGGCGTCATAAGACCAAATAAAGGGAAAAACGTAATTTTTAAGTTTTAATTGTCACATGAGCTAATTGTCTTGTAAATAAGGATTGAGAGAAAATATTATTAAGACAGTACGTTTTTTAATAGTAGAAAGTTTAGAGGTAAATAGACTATATTTTTTAAATTTTAATCGATTTTTTTTTCTTATATTAATCGATTTTCACATTGACTTTTAGACAACTTCGTTAGAACAACAAAAAAAGGATTGTTCAACAAAACAAATACTTCTGATGAAGTCAGTGATTGTCATGCATAGTTTAAAACTGTCACCGTGCTCCTGTATGAACAGGTTCCAGTATCACAGACAGAAAAACAGAAACCGACAAAAAAAACCTCGGACACCCCTGGTTGATAGAAACGCCCCTGCACTTAAAAACACTACTGTTTTTTTAAACGTCATTTAAGAAACACAAGCCTATCCGCTCACTTTATTTGCCACAGTGAGACTCCGCCTCTTTATCCAAATCACGTATGACGTCGGCGGAAGTCAGCGCCGCGTCTCCTCTCCCGACACATATTCATATTTAAAGCCCTGGCTTCAGGAACAGGAGTAGCGGAGAGACCGAGCGACCGTCGGAGCGTTTCAGTGGATAAACACACGGAGTCAGCGGCTGACACGAACCGGCGAGGTGAGCCCCAGAGTCTGGCCAACACTGAGACCACAGGACGGGGGGACGGGAAGGGGTTTTTGCTGCCACTGTTTTTTAGAGTGCTGCTCCGGCGGCGGAGGAGCAGCAGCATCTCAGGTTGCGGCTGCTGCTGCAGAGCAGAGATGACGGGGAGGAGGAGGAGGAGGAGGAGGAGAAGAAGGTTTCACTGTAGTTACTGTAGGCCTGGAACAACAACAAAAACAAAAAGACAGGCAGAGATAAACAGGCAGCTAATACGGGCAGCCCCGGCTAATTATACAATGGTTATAATTAGCTGTTGTGAAAGGTGTCCTAACCTGGTGAGGCGGCGGAAGCTCATCAACAGATCAGTGTTAGCAGTTTGGTCCAGTGGGAACATCTCTAATAGAACACGACCTGTTCTGCTGCCCTCCTTAAACAGACACCTCTGCCTGAACACGGACACTTTTTACTTTCTCGACTGGTTTAATGAAGGAGAAGAGGCTCCGACATGTGTCGGTGGTCAGGAGGTCTGTTTGGGATTTGAGCGACATGAATTTGCTAGAAAATAAAATAAAACAAGTGCATAAGTGTCAGTCAGAATATGAAGGTGTTCTAGGAGAAAACAATGATGGAAGATAAAGTCCCTGTGTTGACATACAGGCGGACATTTACATCTCAAACAGTCCGTTTGTTTATATATATATATATATATACATATGTATATATATACAGTATATGTTAAAAAAGAAACTTACAAATATTTCTTAGTTTAGACAGGTGTATAATCATGTGATAAATACAGTAGATTTTTTCACGTGTTACGTGTGTTGCTATATTATTGTTTGGCTGCTGCTGCTGCAGAGCAGAGATGACGGGGAGGAGGAGGAGGAGGAGGAAGGAGAAGAAGGTTTCACTGTAGTTACTGTAGGCCTGGAACAACAACAAAAACAAAAAGACAGGCAGAGATAAACAGGCAGCTAATACGGGCAGCCCCGGCTAATTATACAATGGTTATAATTAGCTGTTGTGAAAGGTGTCCTAACCTGGTGAGGCGGCGGAAGCTCATCAACAGATCAGTGTTAGCAGTTTGATCCAGTGGGAACATCTCTAATAGAACACGACCTGTTCTGCTGCCCTCCTTAAACAGACACCTCTGCCTGAACACGGACACTTTTTACTTTCTCGACTGGTTTAATGAAGGAGAAGAGGCTCCGACATGTGTCGGTGGTCAGGAGGTCTGTTTGGGATTTGAGCGACATGAATTTGCTAGAAAATAAAATAAAACAAGTGCATAAGTGTCAGTCAGAATATGAAGGTGTTCTAGGAGAAAACAATGATGGAAGATAAAGTCCCTGTGTTGACATATAGGCGGACATTTACATCTCAAACAGTCCGTTTGTTTATATATATATATATATATACATATGTATATATATACAGTATATGTTAAAAAAAGAAACTTTAAAATAAAAATATTTCTTAGTTTAGACAGGTGTATAATCATGTGATAAATACAGTAGATTTTTTCACGTGTTTTTTTCCCGTGTTACTGCTATATTATTGTTATTATTATTATTATTATCAGTAATATTTTTTATACTTTTTATGTTCTTAGACTAGAAGAAAATAATTGAAAGGTAAAATTCTAAAACTTTAATTCAATTAACTAATTATTACAGCTGTGTTTTAAGAAAATAGATCATTTTTATTCACCTTTACACCAACATAGTTATTGAGATACAGTATGTCAATATATCATTGAGATATTTTGGCTGCAAGACTTTTGACACTGTAAAAAAAAGAGATATTTTGGCTGCAAGACTTTTGACAAACCAAACCAATTACACACTCTAGTCTAGACTAAAGGCATTTCAAAATTGTTGGCCCAGGTAAAGGTACACAACAGCAGCAGAGGTAAACTGATGGTTCCCTGAATAGCTTCCCTGCTATTTAGAATTACAGTCAGGTTTCACAAAACCTCACTGCATTTTAGTCCAAATCACTGAATGTAGATTATACAAATTTAGACATTTAATATGTGATCACATATGTGATAAAGCTTAGCGTCAGCTAACGTAGCTCAAAAAGCCATAGCATTAGCCCTAAGATTACTTTAATTAGTAAAAATACACAGAAAGGTCAAAGGCCAGACTTCAGAAATGCCTCTTCTGGACGTGATAGTATTTAATAAAGTATCAGACAAGTTGAAGTGATGAGTTTGTTCCTGATTATTGACATATCAGTGTTGAGAACATTTAACTAATTGATACGATTCATTAGAATATCATTCATTAGAATGTCATTAATTAGAATGATATTATTAGGAGACATTCAGCAGTTTGTCAAACACCTTTGCTGTTCTAAGGATTTGTGTCGAACATTTCTGCCTGGTGCATCATCACAACGTTAGAGCGCATGTGCTGTATTGATTCTGCATGTACAGAAGATCTACTGTGTGTGTGTTTGTTGTGTTTGCACCATCCTCATTGGCCTGGCTCTGTGTGTGTGTGTGTGTGTGTGTGTTTAGGTGCGACTCCACTTCAGGGCTTGAAGCTGCAGCCTGGACCAAAAAAAACCACAACAACATCTCATAACGACATTTATGAAGCTTTCAAGGCCTTTTGGTGAGTCAGAGATACACACACTGACAGACGAACACACACACACACACACACACACACAAACACCAACATGGTTGAACCAATCTTGTGTTTTTATGTGTGATTCTACTCTCTGTGGTGTACTGTAGTAAATCTGTATAGAAGCATAACTAAAGAACCAAAGAGACATGAAGGGCCAACAGATGTTCTCTCTCTCTCTCTCTCTCTCTCTCTCTATCTCTCTATCTATCTCTCTCTCTCTCTCTCTCTCTGTGCCCCTGAAAAACCAAACCTTACCCTGGCAGGATGCCATGACACAGATGTGTATGATGCGGCTTCAGCCTGATGAGATCATGATCTTTGACCTAGTGCTATCTGCACTAATGCACATGCAAAAAAACACACACACACACACACTCCTTCCTGAAAATGTGATGGTGTTTTTTTTTTTTTGGTTTTGTTTTTGACTGACTGACAGAATTGTGTTTCAACACTCGCGGGAGAGCGGAGCTGACTTCCTCTTGATGAAATGTAAGCTGGCCATCAACTGCTGCTGAGTCAGCGGAGCACCACACACACACACACACGGACACACAGATCACATGCAGTCAGTCACATGAATACATAGTCATACACCTAAATGCACATTTGCAAGTATGCAATGTGCCATCATTATTTGTGTGTGTGTGGTTTTTTTTTTAGTTTAAACTGACTGTAGTTTAAACTGTGGTCCAAATGACTCCACACACAACTGTCTGAACCATATGTTCCAGACCGGCACCAACTCGTTCCTCAGTCACAGCGTGAAGCCTGAGAGTCTCAGTGGGAGCTGACAAACTTATAGGATCTTCAAAACAACCAGATGTCCAGCTGCTCAGAGGTTGAGGTTGCTGGTCATGTCTCCTCCTCACCACTGCTGCTTTGTTTTCACGCTGCTCGTTGACAGGACAGTCATAATATTATGGACAGAGGAAACATAAACCAGTCTACAGAATTAATGTTGTGTCTGATGGATCTGCCAATGCGCTCTGGATGTTGATGGGTTTTTACTAACAGAATTAATGTTGTGTCTGATGGATCCGCTCTGGATGTTGATGGGTTTCATTTGAGCTAAATTGGTATAGTTTCAGATGGGTCTGAGGACGGCAACTGCTGTTGGACAGAATGTTTTTTTACCCGCTTTACCCACATTAAAAGACGCATGTCATGACTCAGACTGATCTTAGTTAATCTGTCCAAGACATGATGATGTTGATGATGTTACTATAAAGTAGGTCCAAGCCTAATCTAGCCAGTGCTAGCCTGTTTGACCGGCACATATGGAGTCATCTCTGTGCATTTCTAAACAAATCAGTGAAGTGTCTATGTGGCACACCTGACTGACACACCTGTTGCAGCTACGAATGCTGACGTGTTCCAAGTCACAGCATTTGGCTGCTGAGAGAAGAGAAGCAGCCATTGTTGCTGTGCTGCATGTTTTGTTTACACGGGCAGGAAATGGAAACTTTTCTGGTCGGTAAAAAAATGGATTTGTCTTATTGATCTGTCCATCTGTCCAGTGGATCTGTGTTGACCTGTGTCTCACAGCCGTGTGTGGACACTATTAGCAACACCGCACACTTGTCTTCTAGGAATGACTGTTGTCAAAGTCAATATCAGATGGCTGTACTGTATTTAGCTCTGCCGGTCACTCAGGGGTCACAGATCGTCAGTGGATAGGATTTTTTTTTTTTTGTGCCTCTTCTGTGTCCTCTTCTTTGTCTGTCTCTAAAACTCTCAAATTATTTTCACCTCAGCAGCTGCTTTAGAAAGGCCTTCTGTCCTCTCTCATTAGATTCCACAGCAGACAGAGCTGCTGATTGGTAAGAATTGTTCAGTCACTGTTTTAATGGAATAAAAGTTGGTAAAACATCTAAACCTACAGGACACCAGGTGCAACTGCAGTCAACTTCGTGGTGCCTTTACAGACTTGGCGCTCAATTAGTTTCCTTCTTCTCAAATCTTTTATTGCTGTTTACACACTGTCTGTGCAGCGGCCAATCATTAACGCTCTGGCATGTCCATCTGGGGACTCTGGGATTAAACCCTAAACCCTCCGTTAGAAAGACGACCTAGTCTGCAGCACTCACTGATGTTCAGTCTGTGTTTGAGTCTATGAGTATAGATGGGTTTTTTTTTTTTTGCCTACAGGTGTTTTTTGTGAAGAAACCTGTGGATATATATTTTAAGCCACATTGTTTAACCTATAGCTGATGAAATCATTGTGTTTTTATTGCTCTACAGGTCATGGTAAGAATTCTTTTCTTTTTTTACCTTCACCAATGACATGAAAAACCTTGAACAAATACAGCTTCACCTCATTCTGCTGCTGTTTGGCCACCATCGCCTGTGGCTAATTTTATTAGTCCCAGCAGTGAGCTTAGCTGCAATGACATAAGTGCACTTGAAGCCAGGCAGATAAGCTCTTTTTTTTTTTTTTTTTGGCCACGGCTTCTTCTCTTGCGTCATTTAGATCTTCAGTATTTAATTCAGGTAATGCAGCGTCACTCTTCTTGGTGGTCGTCCAGTCACTGCGCCTATTTTACCAAAAACTGCTGTTCTTGTCTGCAGTGATACTGTAAAACAGCTGACCTGATGCCAGTGATGATTGACAGGCAGTCCATTTGTCTTTGTGTTGTTGACACACCCAGCTCTGACCTTTTTGCATTATCTGTTTGCAGTCGTTGTGTGAGTCGAGTGTTTGGTTTTACAGAGAGCACAGTGTCGTCCACAATGTTGTTGTTTTTCTCTCACTGGACGTTTAACCGACAACAAAAACCCACCGGCTGCTCACCAACACATCAACATGCCTTAGTCTGCAGCGATGTATGTTTCTGAGACAGAGACGCCGTGTGGAAGGCCTGAGGAGATGAAGGTTAAAATGCTCTTTTAATGTTTCTGGATTGCTCTGACTCAACACATTCCTCCTCTTAAATAACCTTCAACCACAAAAACAAGTCTTTTGTGATCCTTGACAAAGGCGGTAAACAAAACCAAACAGGTCTGATGTTGTCAGGTGACCAGTTTAACCTTGGACCATTTGCTGCACTTAGTTTTCTTGTTAATGACTCTATTGCTTTTAAATTAGAAAAATTAGCATTTCTCAAACTCCTTGGTGTCAACCACCGGGGGCAGTGTAACTTGTTTTCTAACACCAAAGTCATGTCTGTTTCACTTATGGACAAAGAGATGATTTAACATGTTTTCTTGTTTTGCCCTGTTTTTGACATCCTGTGGAAAATGTCCCTGTCCTCCTTAGTCCAAACTATGTACATGTTCTCTCTGATGAACTGGCAAATTGTGTCTTTATCAATTGTCAAATGTAGACTTTGAACCTTAACCCGTGTGGATCAGCGGGAAAGAAATAGAAAACCTGGTTGGATTGGCTTAAATTGTGAAGTAGCTACAGGTTAATAACGACTTTAACATCTTAATGTTATAGGTCTCAATATTTGCTATAAACACACACACATACAGTTCCAAGGGAGGTGTGAGGACACTTGAGTGTATGCCAGTAGTCATTAACACTGCACTCAAAGTGTGATGTGTGAACTAATGGACACACACACACACTCTCTCTCTCTCTCTCTCTCTCTCTCTCATCTCCTAAATCGTCCATTGCACTCCCACTCAGTTATAATATCAGGTCCGTTATTGATCTGTAATGTGATATTGGGATTGTTTCTTTCTCTTTGTATTCGTGTTTCCAGCGTTCAGGGCAAGTGTTCTGTCAATGCAGGTTATATTATACAGACGTGAAGAACTGTGTGGACGTCGAAGACATTCTGGTTCACAGCTCACTTTCTCTGTAGTTTGTCACATAAATGACCTGTGGCCAGGCGGTGGCGTACACCTACGCCACCTACTGACTTGTTATTTAGTGTAACATGGTCTGATGCTATTGTTCGACACAGTTTGGGTTGGACACCAGCCAAAATCAATTAGCTCCAAGTGCCAGTCTCATCCTGGTTAGAGAAACCACAGCACAGCAGGAGGAGGACAACCGCAGTGTTGATACCAAACAGGCAGCAGGAGGTAACGGAGAACATGACGTTCTTGTTGAGAATGCTCTGCCAAAAAAACAAAAAACACACAAATATAACACTGACATTGTTCTGTCGATTCCTGTGACCGAGAACCAGCAGCCGTTTACTGTTGTTCATGTTTGTCAGTTGTCACAGTCAGTTGTCCAACAGGTTGACGTTATTTGACTTTATTATTGAAAAAGTACATGGTGCGTGTGCGTGTGTGTGTTTAGGACGGTGCGTGTGCGTGTGCGTGTGTGTGTTTAGGACAGTCTAGTGCTGCACATTCCAGTTAAGCTTTATCAGCACAAAGCACGTGTGTTTGCATAAGGAGGTGTGCACACCACTATGTGTGTGTGTGTGAATATGAAATACAAACATAAGATGTTCCTGCCCAGTTGTTGTTGTGACTTTAATGATATGATCTGTTTTCTTAGAGTTCTGTGTTTTTAAACAGCAGGTGGCGCTGTAAGCTACGTGAAAGCCCTTTTTTCCACCATTATTGCATTGTTGTTTGGCATGAATATAACTTTGTTCTGAGAGAATTTGTTTTTCACCATTGGAGCAGACGTCTGTCTGTTTCAGTCCATGTTGCTGATGTGATGGGCTAGATATAGTGCAGAGCTCCGCCGTGGTTGTTGTTTTAGGGCTGTACATCTTCGACTGTGATGTGAAAAAAAGGCTGCACGAAGGGGTCAAAGGGTGATTTCCTCAAATTTTGACAAAAATACACACATTTTCCCAACCTCATCTCACATTTTGTTTATTTGTGTTTTAGCAGCAACATAAACATTCTTTAATTTGCTTTAGTGCCACCTGCTGGATGTTAAAAAAGAAATATTTATAAATACTGGCTGAGGATGTCGTCCATTCCATTGACCTACATTCATATGTTCTAACTTCCACCTGTAGTGTAATTTAAGATGATAAAATAAATAAAACACATACTCAAGAAAGTAA